AATCAAATATATTGTAGACTCTGCGCATCTAATTTTTTTATGAGATATTGGAAAATAAGTTATGACAATCAGAAGATGAGGACTGGAAGTAAGAAAAAAACAAAAAATCATCTAAAAGTCATTTGTAATAATAGTAATAATCTAATTATTATAATATGATAGAGAACTCATGAATGTTTTCTTATCAAAGACAAAGAAAACAAATGAATTGAGGTTAGGCACTAAACTGTTACTACAAGTAAACTAGGAAGGAAGGAACTTGGACAGTGGAGCTTCAAATTTTCAGGTAGGGCAAGTGCCCTACCTCAAATGTATGTGGCTCTGCCCATAAACAACCGACTATACTCATATATGAGATAAATATACATATTGAAAAAACATCATACTACCTCCTCGTGTCTAAACTTCAAAGGGTTAAATGACTTTTATCACAAGGAGGGTACAAATGCTTTTTGGTGATCCACGTGAGGCATATTAAGGGGTCACTGCAATTCCCCCCCCCCCCCCCCCCCCCCCAAAAAAAAAAAAAAAATGGAATGCTATTATGTTTTGAACAAGGTTACAAAAAGTACTAAATGGCCTAGGCATTGAACCTAATGCCCAGAGGCTAGGCGAGATCTAAGTGGTTTTTCTATTTTTTATTTTTTAATTACAATAATTGATAGTAAATGCCAATCTTATAGAAAGCGTAGGCGTCAAGAGGATTTCTTTCTTCGTTTAAGTGGTGGAGGAGGTTTTGCTAAAGGTCGGAGGATGTAAAGATATTCATAGTTGGAGGCTAGAGGAGTTTGCAAGACGTGGAGGCTGCAACGAAGGAAATCACGATCAATGCCTAAAGGGAGTAGTCCATGTAAGCAAACCACGCTCGCTAACGCTCCCAATATCTAGGCAGGCAGTCTAAGTACCTCTTGGCGCTAGGCGGGCAGCGGAGGTACTGTTGGACTTTTGGTTCATGAAAAGGTAATTTTGCCTTTGTGAATAGTCCCACATCGGAAAATGAGAAGAAGTTCAAGAAGTTTATTATGGTTCACATCTCAATGGGCTTTGAGTTGGTGTTTTGGGCGTAGTATTGTTTGGGCTGTTGCTCCACACACGCGCGCGCGCACGCGGGAAAAAAAAAGAAAAAAAAAAAACCGACGCGACAACGCTACGCCTCGGCCATGAAAGCCGGCGCGCCAGCACCGCGGGGCGGTAGCACGACGGCGGATTTTTGCGCTCTCAATTTTATTTTTTAAGGGCACGTTTACACAGTTTGTAAGCGGTTGCGGGAGTTATGAAAACGTATAACGGAGCCTGGGATCTCAGCTAACATGTGCGAGTCTATGACAGCAACGGTTATGCGCTGAAAGGGGGCTTATATAAGGAGCTGAAGCTCATTCAGAGAAATAGACAGTAAAAGAGAATCTCTTTCGCCTCTACAGTTCGAGAGGGCCTCTTTCTTCTGCATCCAAATTTTTCTGCTACTATTTACTTATACTTTTCTGGCAATCATCTTCGTTTGAGCAGAAGCTCTGCTAATCGCGCCCGAGTACAGAGGTCGGCTGTTTCCGGGGGCTTTTACCGCTAGGGGGAGAGGATCGACTGCGTCAGGGCGATAGGCGGGTCCTCTATCTTCTAAGGCAGTGAATCACGACTGCACCCGTTCAGGCCTGGTGTTCTAACTATTTTATTTTCAGTTTTATACTAATTTTTCTCCCTTTTGACAGCAATCTAGAAGATAGATAAAATTTCTTACTGCTAATTTAAATTTGATATTAATTGCTTTTAATTAGTAAATAATTATCTGTTAATTTTCGTTTAAAAAATTTTAACTGTTCATCGGACTTTACTATTCATCAGAAAGAAAAAAAATTTATATATATATAATAATCTTAGCTTTCTTGTGCTTATTTGTTCATCAGAGAGTTTTCTGTAAAAAAAAAAGGTTTCTGTTCACGATTTTTTTTTGTTTACTGTTCATTAAAAAAAATATTATTATCTCTTGCTAGTTTACAAATCTGGTTTCATATCTTAAGTCATAATCCTTTAAGTTACTAGTTGAGTGGTATTGACAAATCATATTTTCATTCAGATATCAAATTCCTAGACTAGTAAACTCAAATTAGACTTATGGCTAATCCTGATCATTCCAAAAATGTCAAACCTGAAAAGTTCACCGGAGTTAATTATAAACGATGGGCTAATCAGATGCGATACTGGCTTACCACATTAGGTTTTTTATCTGCTCTTGACATTCCCGAGTCTTCAACTAGCGGTTTTCAACCCTCCAATTCTCATGTCTATGGTCCTCTACCTGAACTTGTTCCAACCACTTCTGTTTCTGGTGCTAGCTCCTTTTTTAGCTCTATGAAACCAGAAGAAATCAATTATCATTGTTGCCATAGGATCCTTAGCGTACTTGCGGACAACCTTTACGACATATATTATGAGTTCAAAAATACTAAAGACCTATGGAATGCTCTTAAAGCAGAATATGGCTATGATGATACCGGAATTCTGCGTTTTACTTCCTCCTTCAATAAATTCATGATGCTTGATGACAAACCCATTAATGAACAAATTCATGAATTTCAAGATTTCCTCCGTCACCTCCAATCTAAAGGAAACATCTTTACTGATGATTATAAAGTTTCCTGCCTGATTGATAAACTTCATCCATCCTAGTCTAGATTTACTAGAGATCTCCGACACAAGCAAGGAAATCTAACATTAACCAAAGCCCTCAAGGCTATTCGTATTGAAAACCAGCATAGGAAAAATTCCAAAACCAAGTCTGAATCAAAAGCTAAAGTAAACTTGGTAGAAGATAAGCCTAAATCTAGGAATTTCAAACCCAAAGGGAAGAAATTCAAGAAAAACCAGCAATCCTTCAACAAATCTTCTTCCAAATCCAATCCCAATTCTTCCAGTCATAAGTCTGATGAAATATTCTGCTATGTCTGTGGTAGAACCAACCACATGGCTCCTAACTATTTCTTTCGGAAGAAGGAACCGGCTAAACCTGCTCCTAAAGAAAATGGATCCAACAAAGTTAATATGATTAAAGAGAATCCAACTTCCTTCAGGTTAGCCTCTTCATCCTATCTTGTGAATTCCCTTACTTCTTCCACTGATTGGTACTTAGATTCCGGAGCTAATATCCATGTTTGCAATGATCACTCTTAGTTTTTTACTTACCAGGAATCATGTGGAGGAAGCATAAGCTTAGCAAATGACTTCACTAAACAAATAATAGGAAGTGGATGTATAGAGCTCACCATGACCTATGGGAAAGCTCTGAATCTGCAAGGTGTTCATCATGTTCCTTCTCTCCATCGTAATTTGATCAGTGAATCTCTTCTACTTAAAACTGACTATAGGATTGTTAAAGAATCCAATAAGTTTGTGATTACAAAGGACAATGTATTCATAGGAAAAGGTTTTACTTATAATGGTTTTTCCAAACTCAATGTAATCAATTCCAGTTCTAATAAAATTTTTGAGTCTTCTGTTGTACAAATTGTTGAATCTTGTGATGTCTGGCATGAACGACTTGGACATGTCAATTTTCAAACTTTACAGAAAATGATCAAATTGAATCTTATTCCTAAATCCTCTTTTGACCTCTCTTCCAAGTGTGAGATTTGTGTTCAAGGGAAACACACTAAAAAACCCTTCAAGTCTATAACTAGAAACTCTGAACCCCTCGAATTAATTCATAGTGATGTGTGTGACTTAAACCGAGTTCTCACCCGAGGGGATAGGAGATATTTTGTGACCTTTATAGAGGATCGCTCTAGATATTATTACATCTATCTTCTCAGAACTAAAGATGAAGTATTAGATAGGTTTAAGGTGTATAAAGCTGATTCTGAGAACCAACTTGATAGGAAGATCAAGATTCTAAGGTCTGATCGTGGGGGGAGTATACCTCAAATGATATGACTGAATATTACCAAGAATACAGTATTATTTATGAGGTTACTGCTCCCTATGTACCACAGTCTAACGGGGTAGCTGAACGAAAGAACAGAATCCTAATGGACATGGTAAACTGTATGTTACTTAGTTCAGGAGCACCTGAAAATCTCTGGAGTGAAGCTCTTCTCTCTGCTTGTTTCATTCTTAATAGGATTCCCCAAAAATATTCTGATACAACTCCTTATGAATATTGAAAGAGGAGATCTCCTAATCTGAACTTCTTCCAGGTCGGGGGTTGCTTAGCTAAGGTAGCTATTCTCGAACCTAAGAAGAGAAAAATTGGTTTCAAAACTGTTGATGCTACTTTCATTGGATATGCACTAGATAACAATGTTAATATATTTTTAGTCATTAACTCTGAAATCAGTGACATATCCAACAACACTATCATTAAAGCTAGAGATGCAGTTTTTTAAAAAATATCTTTCCTTTCAAATCCAAAATCTCAAAAAATCCTAGTTCATCTCTTCTTTCTGATTTACCATCTTTCAGTTCTTCTCAGCCTTTTGATATTGAACCTCGAAGAAGTAAAAGAGGTAGAATTCAAAAGGACTTTGGAGAAGACTTCTTTACCTTTTTGGTTGAAGGTGATCCTAGTTTATTTGAAGAAGCAATGGATTCACATGAATCTCTTTTTTGGAAAGAAGTCATTGATAATGAGATTAAATCTATCATGAAAAACCATACTTGGATACTCACCGACTTACCTCCAGGTTGTAAATCTATTGGTTGTAAGTGGATATTCAAGAAGAAACTTAGAGCTGATGGTTCCATAGATAAATTTAAAACTAGATTAGTAGCTAAAGGCTATACTCAACAAAAGGGCATTGATTATTTTGATATTTATTCTCCTGTAGCCCGAATCTCAATTATCCGAGTATTATTAGCCTTTGCTACTATCCACAAGCTGATCATACATCAGATGGATGTCAAGACTGTTTCCTGAATGGTGATTTAGATGAAGAGATTTATATGTACCAACCTGAAGGCTTCATTGCCAAGGGTTAGGAAAACAAAGTCTGCAAACTTGTTAAATCTTTGTATGGTCTTAAACAAGCTCCTAAACAATAGCACCAGAAATTTGACAAAATCATTGCTCATTATGGTTTCACAGTAAATGAACACGACAAATGTGTTTATTTAAAAGTGATAAACAATGACTATGTCATCCTCTGTCTATATGTTGATGATATTCTTATCTTTAGAACAACTCTTGAACTAATTTTAAAAGTCAAGGATTATCTTTCCAAGAATTTTAACATGAAAGACTTAGGTCTTGCTGATATGATAATTAGAGACACTAGATGAATATCTTTGAGTCTTTCTCACAGTATTGAGAAAATGCTGATCAAATTCAACTATCATAACTCTAAACCTGTTTCCACACCTTATGATTCTTCTATATCCTTGAAAAAAATAAAGATGATCCTGTATCCCAACTGAAATATTCTCAGATGATTGGATCTTTTTTATACATATCAAACCGAACCAGACCCGATATAGCTTATGCGGTAGGGAGACTGAGTCGGTATACTAATAATCCTAACCTAGATCATTGGTCTGCCCTAGAGAGAGTATTCAAATACTTGAAAAGGACAGTTGACTATTGCTTGACTTACAGTGGATACCCTGATGCCATTGAAGAGTATAATGACGCCAATTAGATCACAGATTCTAATAGTGTGAAGTTCACATCTAGATATGTATTTCTTTTTGGTGGTGCTGTTGTATCCTGAAAATCATGTAAGCAAACAGTAATTACCAGGAGCACCATGGAATCTGAGCTGATTGTTCTTGATACCACTTGCACAGAAACAGAATGGTTAAAAGATCTACTTTCTGAACTTCCTTTGGGCTCTAAACTCTTTCCTCCAATTTCCATTCATTCTGATTCTAAATTTACCATAGAGCTTCTAAAGCAATGCATGTAAATAAAAAACTCAACAGACATATTCAAATAAGATATAAATCTGTACAACGCCTGATAGGCAAAGTTATGATCTTGAACTTTATAAAGCTTGAGAAAAATCTCGCTGACCCTTTGACTAAAGGATTATCCAAGAGTGTGATTCTGGATTCATCAAGGGAGATGGGGTTAAGCCTATAAGAGAGGTCATTGACAGTGGTAACCTAACCCTTATTTAGAGACTTAGTCCCAATGTTGGTTCAATGTGATAGAAACAATCTGGACCAGTGACACTCGTGTGGAACATCGACCCAGACATATCACTATGCAGCTTGTGCTACTACCACTTCTCTATGATGACGATGCTCTTATGATACAGCTGGCTAGGCTAAGTTTTACTCTTAATAAGTCCAACGTTTGTATTATGGGGGGTATTAAATAAACAGTTGTAGTATCCTTTGAGGACTTACATACGTGAGAAGAACCGTGATGGTCGCGGTTAGGGGGGTTGGGCTAACCCATAAAAACTCTCATGAGTCGATTTATTGTGAGCATGGCCTTTAACGCTCAACCCGCTTTGCTCAATAGATGAAAACGTATTGTGTGTGTTTTTGTCAATACCTGATTCAAGTGGCCTAATTCAAGGCCTAGTCCATTATGTCTCTCAGGTGGCGACAAACTCACTAAGGAAAGGTTCAAAACCGGAAGCTACCTCGCCCGAATTCACGATACGAAAGGTTGCCTAACCTGTATCGTTTATGATTTATTGATTTATTTATTGACTTTGAGTTTTCAGTCAATATTGCCTTTTGGAGGGGATTGTTGGACTTTTGGTTCATGAAAAGGTAATTTTACCTTTGTGAATAGTCCTACATTGGAAAATGAGAAGAAGTTCAAGAAGTTTATAATAGTTCACATCTCAATGGGCTTTGAGTTAGTGTTTTGGGCCTAATATTGTTTGGGTTGTTACTCCACACGCGTGCGCACGCCACGCCTCACCTTGCCACGACACGCGCGCTACGCCGCACCGCACACGCACGCGGTTTTTTGCCTCTCAAGTTTTATTTTTTTGCACGTTTTACACAAGTTTGTAACGGTTACGGGAGTTATGGAAACGTATAACGGATACGGGATCTCAGCGTAACGTGCGCGGTCTATCAGCAACGGTTATAAGTTGAAGGGGCTATATAAGGAGCTGAAGCCATCATTTCGCGACAAAATAAACAGCAAAAGAAGCAATCTCTTTCCCTCAACATTTCGGAGCAGCCCTCTTTCATTCTCTTCCAAAATTTTTCTGCCGTACTATTTACTCTATATTTTCTGGGCCAGCCATCTTCGTCTGAGCAGAAGCTCCGCTGCCTCGCGCCCGGACGTACAGATGCCGCGTTTCCGAAGCGGGCTTTTACCGCTATGGGGAGAGGATCGACTGCGTCAGGGCGATAGGCGGGTCCTCTATCTTCTAGGACAGTGAATCACGACTGCACCCGTTCAGGCATGATGTTCTAACTCTTTTATTTTTAGTTTTATACTAATTTTTCTCCCTTTTGACAGTAGGTACTGCCAAGGTTTAGGCATATGTCTATGTGGGCGAGGCGGAGGCTTTTTAAAACATTGTTTTTGAAGTTCCAAAAATTAGAATTTTCTCATTAAAAAAATCATAATTCCCTGTATAGACAAAAAGCAAACTGAGAATGGAAGTAACTTACGTCTGATCGAGACTCATGAGTTCGTCCTCCCCATACGAGCTGGCCGACAGCTTCGTGCTCACAGTTTGCAGCAAATTCCCATTAACATCAAATTGCTTCACCCCAAAAAGCCAAAATCCTAATCAGAAAAAAAAAACAATAGGAAAAAAAGGACTAAATAAACAATTGCTCACATAGAAAGAGCCGTTCCATTTGCCCAAATTGACATCTATAAACCGACGCAAAACATCTACACCCATAGATCCCTCATTCTTCTCCTCCTCAGTCACTGATGCTCTAGCTCCAAGATTCCTTCTTTGGATTCGAACCGATGAAATTGAGCTACGCAAGTCGCCGATTCCGCTGTAATGAGTCGATTTGCGGGGGAAAGTGCGTTTTTTGGCGGGAATTGGGCTTGATTTTGAGAGAATTGGGATCCTTTGAGTACAACTGGGGATTAGGGTTTCCGCCATTTTGAGAATGGAGTAAATGTGGGGCGCGGCTAATGGCTGATTTCAAACTAGGAAAGAGCCTTATCTCTGAAGAGGAGGCTCGCTTCATAATTCGGGTAGGGTATGTAAATTTTCGACCCGTATGTTACCACTACCCCTAGATCCGTTATCTCTCTCATTCACTGAATCTATATATTTATTAATCATGTATGTTGCCCCCCGAAAAAAAATTAAACCACACTTCAATTTCTCTTCTTATATACTACCATATTAGTACGTGCAAATGCACGTGCTAGTAACTTTATTTTTTTTTTTTTTTTATCTAAACAATACTCGATCCTACATTATAACTACATTATCATCACTCATTGTGTATTTACGGGATTTCTAGTAAAATAAAAATATGCATATGCCTAATTCACGTGATCAAGCTATTTACGGGATTTCTAGTAAAATAAAAATATGCATGTGCCTAATTCACGTGATCAAGTTAATAAGAAAATTCTTATCATATAATGTTGTATCATGAGGATATATTAAGTTTAGATTGAAGTAACAACAATTATTCTAGGTAAGAAAATTCATCCAATCTTTATAATTTTATTACATAATTAAGAAAAGTATAATTTAATAGTTCTTAAAATATATTTTTAATATAAATTATATACATGTCAAATAAGATTTTCATTTAAAATATGTCACTATCTAGTTTACATTGTGTTGCGTTTTTACTTTAGCCAATTATATAGCTTTTTTAAAAAGGGTTTTTTTATAGAGTGCCCATGGGCACTCTATAAGAGAGGAGAGAGAGAGAGAAGTGAATTGCTCATGGGTCCTCCTGATTTGTACTAAATTCTATTGGCAATTCACTTCTCTCTATCTCTTTTATAGAGTGCCCATGGGCACTCTATAGAAAAACCCTTTTAAAAAAAGTTATGCATGAAATATTAAATTTAAAAAAGAGATGGAGGAATGAAAATAATAGAACCTTCTAGAGATAAGGATGCATTTAATGGGAGAAGAAATGAATAAAATGTCCACTGAATTCAAAATTATCATGTTGCTCAACTCAAACAATAAATTTCCCTAAAAACTCAATAAATGAATGAGGAATTTTCATTCACTCCTTCACTATTGCCTATGCACACAAATTTTTTTATAAAGTTAGTATAGAAGTATAGATGGACAAGTAAAAAGAAAAAAAAAGAACAGGTTTATTAGACCTAGTGAAATATGTTTTCTCATGAAAAAACACAAGGAATAATGTTGCAAAGATGAGTAATCAAAGCTACTACAAAAGATATTGCAGGAAATTTTTAAAAAGTCATTTTGTTTGAAATTTTATTAGCAAAATTGACTTTTTTTTGGCCACACCATCACGACTGGCCAAAAAGTGGTCGATTTTGCAAAACAAAGACTTTAAAAAATACATGACTACAAGTCCCGTGTAATTAGTGGTTACTAAATAAGGGTTAATCTGATTAACAATCCCGGGTATTCTAAAAGAATCACATTAACCTTTTACTAATGACTACTAATTACACGGGACTAGTAGTCCCATGTTTTTTAAAGTCTCTATTTTGTAAAATCGACCACTTTTTAGCCAGTCATGATGACTAAATCAAAAAGTGGTCGATTTTACTAATTAAAACAAAAAGGGTACAATTTGCTATTAAAATTTCATAAACAGACTTTTTTAAAAACTTTCTTCTAAAATATGTAAATTGCAAATAACTGGCATACCAGTAAACACTTACCGAATTTAAAGAAACAGAAATATGAATTTCAGAATGGCAATTGCTGTGGTTAACTTCTTGAAATTTGATACAGATAAAACTCATGTACAGTTGCTAGTTCGTTGGTATTCACTTAGCAATATCTAAACAAGGAAACAAGAGTAATAGTACTCTACATGATTCATCTTTGAATAACTCTAACCATATCTCCTCTTTGATTAATATGACAACCATTAAGAAGCGCTCGCCAAATCATATCATCTGGCTCTATCTGCATCGATCTGATGAACTCATATGCTTTATTAATCTGGCCAGCTCGACTCAAAAGATTGACAACAGATACATAGTGATCTAAGTCTGGCTCAATATTGAACTTTTCTCTCATCAGGTCAAAGTAATACAATCCCTCTTCTACTAGTCCAGCATGACAACAAGCAGATAAAATGGCCATAAATGTCACTTCATTTGGTCTTACACCCGAATCTACCATTTCCATAAAGAGCGAAATTGCATCACTTATGAGTCCATGGTTTCCATAGCCAGATATAATTGAACTCCATAACACAACATTCTTATCAGGAACACTGTCAAAGATTTGTCTGGCCATTCTAATATCTCCACACTTTGCATACATATCGGTGAGAGCTGTACAAATGTGAATATCCTTTTTGAAACCTGATACTAAAAGCTTATGATGCGTCCATCTTCCTTTACTTAAAGAACCAAGATTTGTGCAGGCCTTGATTGCATTTAGATAGGTCACAGTATCCATTTCATCACCCTGATAGTACATTTGCTCGAAAAGTTTGATTGCATTTTCTGAAAACCCGCAATCAGATAATCCACTGATCATAGTGTTCCATGTTACGGTGTTCTTGGTGTTAATCTCATCAAACACTCTTAATGCAGTTTCTATTGAACCATATTTACAGTACATATCTATGAGAGAGTTCCGAACAAATGTGCTTGTCATAGTACCGATTTTTATAGCAATGCCATGGATTTCACACCCAAGAGAGATTTTGGCAATATGCCCACAAACAGGGAGAACACTTGCCAGAGTAAAAGAATCAGGGAGAAATCCTTTGTTCATCATCTGAACAAAAAGTTGTATTGCTATCTCTGGAGATACATTCTGAGTGCAAGCTGCCATGAGCGAGTTCCATGAGAGTAATGTTTTCTTCTCTATGGAATCAAACACATTGAAACAAGTCTCGAGCTTTCTGAAACTGGAATACATAGTTATCAATGCAGATCCAAGGGAGCTCAGATGAGGGTCTATGCTTCTTCTTAGAGTAAAACCATGGATCGATTTTCCTTCTTTAAGCAAGCCTAACTTAGTACAGGAATATACAACACCCATCAGAGTAACTTCATTGGGCTCTATATTTGATTCCAGCATTCTATTGTAGACAATTATCGCTTCTCTATAACATGACATTCGGTTGTAAGCTGAGATCATAGCAGTCCAAGAGACAACAGTCTTCATAGATGTCATCCCAAATATATTCTCAGCACTTTCTAAATCATAACATTCACTGTACATCGTGATGAGTGAATTCTCCATAACTTCATCAGGTTCAGACCGTTTTCTTATAATACGGCAATGAACTGATTTTGCTTCTTTCAGTAATCCCATATCAGCACAAGCATCAGCAACTGTTAGCACCAACACCCTATCCTCTTCAAAACCTCGCAAATCCACTCTAGCAAGCAAATTCAAACCTTCATCAGCTTGCCCACATCGAATGCAACCCGAAATCATCGAGCTCAAAGAAACCACATCTCTGACAGGCATTTCTTCAAATACCCGATAAGCGTCTCCAAGCCTTCCTCCTCTTACATACATTTCAATCAACGTAGTCTCAGCTATTACATCAGAGTCAAACCCATCTTTAAAGATTCTCCCATGAATCTTTCTTCCAATTGGCATGTTATAAAAACCCGCACAAGCTTGAAGAACAGGAGTAAGAACAAAACTGCTAACTTCAAACTGACGGTAGAGCAATCCATGGTGATATAAAGAGATGGCTTCTTTATAATGGAGATTAGAGACGTAGCATTTGAGCATCACTGCCCACATGAACGAATCTGGGTTTGTGAAGTTGTTGAAGATTTTTACAGCGGCGGTGATGCCGGAGGTTTTGGAGTATGATTCTAAGAGTTTGGTGGATAGAAGTGGGTCTCTGTGGAGGCCAATGGTGAGGAGTTGGGCATGGATTTGTGAAAGGGGTCTCCGGGTAGTGCAAGATTTTAGCAGGGGGACATATAATTTCATGGTACTGAAAGAAATAACTAGAGTTCAGAGGAATTTGGAGACTTAACCAACAAATTTTGGGGGTTAAAATTGAACTTTGGGGGTATCAAAAGTTCAAACAGAGGGAAAACTTTGGGGGCACCAAAAATCAAATAAGCCTGTGTTGAATGTAGACGTGCAAGCATACACGTCCATGTCAATTGAATTTTAACAGTCGATATTTAATCCAACAAGAAATCAATTATCACATTTTCAAATCTCACATTAACACCACTGTTAAAGATGAACTCGCTTTGCTCAAATCACAATCAAATAATAACATAACCCTCCTGTCCACGTTAATATTAACTAACAATACTATTAACTTCAACATCTTACAAAGAATATTCTGCAAATAGATTCAAATTATGTACATAAAGCTATAAGATATGACAGAAAATTAAGTTAATCTCCTCAGAAAATTCTTCTTCCATTCATTTAACATGCATATACGTGATCGTGTACGTACTACGCATCTCGTAAACAAGACCAAAAGTTAACTTTCTAACAAATGAAAAATCACAATATATGTCATTTCCTTTTTGTTTAAAATTGAACCGGCTCCTTCTTCGGGATATAGGTTGAATGTAGAACAATATACAAAATACTCTCAGGGTGCAGCCTTCATCCACCACGTCACAATCTTCAGAGTCTATGATTTTATTTCACACGCTCAATCTGCACACAAATATTTTCCCTCTGCTAAGGACAACTGCAGAGTATATCTGACCCGCAAGAATAAGACGCAGCAGAACGAAAGAAATATAATCCATGAACATTCTCATGCCAATGTTTTCTGTCGAGATAAATAAGCTACTCGTAATACTTCATCCGCATTGGAATGGAGTAAAATAAAAGTTCCTACAGCAAATGATGGGAGGATGGTAGCCATGGAATAAGCTAGTGCCCTCCCACTATGTCCACTATCCCTCATGGCATATACTTCAGAAACAGAGGGAGAAACTGTGCTCATGCAGCCAATGACACCGAACCGGACACCACTCGTGAGTACTGTGCATTCCTTTGTGTTCACCTCAAGATAATCAGTAAACTAGTAAAGATAAATACTTCAAATTATTAAAGCTCATGAACTACGAAATAATGCGGGGATAAAAAAAATCTGATAATCTGATCACATAGGAGATAGAATGATATCCGTGTTTCTTAACAGTCTTTGCATGGGGGGGAAATATCATTATCAATAAGAGTATCCCAACAACAAAACCTTCTTCTCAAATTTTTGGGATCAAATTTTGTGTCCCCCCCTTCCCCGCCGGCCGGCTCCATTCAGGTCCAGACCTGTTAAGAGTTTGGAGTTGGCTATACGAATCTCTTTTTGCAAGCAGCTCGTTCAAGGGTTTTCTTTGATCAATCATGAAAAAAAATATTTCATGTACTTTAGAATGTTTGTCCCAGTACACTGTTTTGAAATTCGCTATTGAAGCTTTGAATTA